ATATTCTTGGCTTGCACCAAGGCTCTCTCTTTCGAGCTTCGGAGTTGGGCCTCGACCGAGGCCAGTTGAGCCCGGGTAGCCTCCTTTTCAGAAGCAAGGCGATCCATGTTCTTTTTCCACTCTTCGGCCCCTGCTTTCATTGCATCCATCTCGGCGCGAAGCTGCCCAATCATATCGAGCTTTTGCTAAACCTGCGGGACCGAACTGTTAGCCTTCACGCCCAAATTAGTGTCATTAACTTCAAAGACTCTTTTAACCTGTTCGGACAAATTGGTTTGTTCTTTCCGATTTGCTTCTAGCTCAGCTCAAAGTCCTCTTGCTTCTCTTTCCCTCTGCTCACTGAGAAGCTTGAAGGTATCTCTCTCCTCAGTTAGCCCTCGAATTTCAGCTTTGAATTGGCTTAGCTCCCCTCGGGATAGGAAAAACGCCTCGTGATAGAGCACAGAAGCCTACAAAAAATAAAAGGGAGTTATACAAAAGAAGAAAAATACAAGTATGAAAGTTGACAAAGAGAAAGTGAACTTACTCGATTCAGGACCTACTGAGCTTCATTGAATATACGAGGAATCCCCGCCTTACCCGAGCTCTTCTTCGAAGACTCCAAATTTCTCAAACCGGTAGCATCTTCTACTCCCACAAAATAACCACGGAAAGGATCTTCCTCCCCATGGGCTCCCTCCCCATGATAAACCTCCACAGCTTGGGCGTCATGTATCATAGACTGTGAATATGAAGGAAAAGAAGGGGAATCGCCGATCTCTATTGCCCCGACTATGTCTTTCGAGGCGTCGGCTCCATCTCGAGGAACCCCAAACTCGGTTCCTACACCATCATCAACCGCCTCTTCAACGGATTCGTTGCCCGAGATAAAATATCCCCGGCCTCTCTTTGCTCGGGAACTCGGTTCAAAGTCTTATCCTCGACCTCGTCGAACCTGGGTGAAGCAGAATCAGTCCCCACCGATCCCAAAGCTTTACAAATATTGGTGCCAGCTCGAGCACGGGCCACCAGTCCAGAGTTATCTTCTTCTTCTTCATCCCTTAGACGCAGGACCGATTCCGTAGTCAATGGGATTGTGGTTCCTTAGGCTTACGAACTGTCCTCTTCTTAGGTTTTTGACCCTCGGAATCCGAAGTCCTTTTTCTCTTACTTTCCTTCAATGACTTCGAGACAGGAGGTAAAACTTCCTCACCACCAGACGGGGGCCTCATGACCGTATATATTTCGAGACCTGCGAAGGTAGAAGATAAGTAAACTCATGTTTCGAATAAACATGTCACCTCGAACGACAAATGAATCGGTAGACCAAGATGAAAGCTTACCATGAGTACGAGCTTCCCATCGACCCTTTGACAAATCGCGCCAAGCACGCTAGGCATATGTCGACGTCGAAACTAGGCTCTTGACCCAGTTCTCGAGATGGGGAACCGCTACCGGCATCCAAGCAACGGCTGTGTCAAGAAAAACACCGATAAGTAAAGATGAAGAAGTAAAAATGACAAAAGCTAAAAACGGAATCATACTTACGATTCATATTCCATTTCTTGGGAAATGGCATACTCTCAACCGGGATTAAGTCCGAGGTCTTCACTCGGACAAACCGGCCCATCCAACCCCGATCTTTATCTTCATCAATGCTCGAGGTGAACGCCTTGGTGGCCCGGCGTTAAAGCTTTATTAGCCTACCTCGGTGAAGACGAGGGCTATATAATCTTATTAGGTGGTCGAGGGTGAAGGGAAGCCACTCAATTTTGCTCATAAAGAAACAGAGCAGTATTACAATCCTCCAGAAAGAAGGATGTATTTGACCGAGGGTTACTTGGTACTTTTTGCAGAAGTCGATGATGATCGGATCGAGGGGACCCAGCGTGAAAGGATAAGTGTAAACACTCAAGTACCCTTCCACGTGGGTAGTAATCGCTTCTTCCGGTGCCGGTATCACAACCTCTTTATTTTCCCAACCACAATTTTTCTTCACCAAATCAATAAGGCTTTGAGCTATCGAGCATATATATCTCGATACCGGCTCACATCGACCAGGAACCAACGAAGGTTTCTCGACCTTAAAGTCAGAATCGATAACACATCCCCCGGGAACGAGTTCTTCGAGGCGTGGCTCCACCACCGGTTTCTCACCGACCGGCCGAAATGAGGAAGCAGCCTCTTTCTGAGGAACGGTTTTAGATATCTTGGCTATCTAAATTCTCAAGAACAAGGAAGATAGGAAATTGAAATATTTTGGTGAAGGTAAAGGTTTAAAATAATGAAGAAGGAGGGCTATTTATAGATTTGTCAATGACTGTTCAAACTCAGCAGTGGCCGACCATCGTCTGACGCACATTTAATGCCTTGATAACTGAACCGACGGGACATTTATCACATACGTCATAACCGGGCTCGACGCAGACGTCAGTGTGTATCTAGTCAGAGGTTGAAAAAATTATATCATTTCTCGCCACATTCTTTCTGAGAAACGAGGGGATTATCTATATACGGTCAAAACCGATTTTTTCCTTCATGTATTTAGTCGATATTGGAACATGATGGACTGAGGGTCGTCATCATAATATCGAGATGAGATTTGAAGCCAGGTTATCGAGCTCAAGATTCAGGGACCGATCAATACCAAGCTCGAAGTCGATATCGAGCTCGAATCAATATCGAGCTCGAGCCAATATCGAGCTCGAGTCAATATCGAGCTCGAGATCCAAAGATCGACCAATACCAAAATCGGCCAAGATCGAGCTAAGAGACAAAGAGCCGTTGTAGCAACACCATGGGAGAGAATCTCGGCGAAAATTAAGAAAAAGCTAAATAACTAATCTATCATGGGATCCCCACTATATATTTTTAATTATATCCAATGTATGATTCCTCTACTATATGAAGAGTGGCTATCATTTCTGTAAGGGATCGGACATTCAACATTCAGACATCAATACACTCTCACATTTCAGAAGTTATTGAGATTTACACATATATAGTAAACATTATCCTTCTTTGAGGCTTAGTACATTGGTTCATCTTGCTTGTTTATAAATCATTTTCTACTTAATTTGGTTTGTATTTCATTCCTTTATTACAGTCAATATTTGATATATTTCTACTTACTTTTTCGATTTGTACCAAGTTATACTTCGTATCCTTAGAACTACGTATAAATTCAACTCTATCCGTTTTTCGGGTAAACACGTAACATTTCTACATTAATTAGGACAACAAGCTGTTTTTTAGAGGGGCAAGAATATTTAAGGCCATTATGAAAGATTTATGGAGCAAAGGCATGCAAAATGCTGAAAATGTAAGAATATCAATTACTCTCTGGCTTCATAATATTCATAATTACAAGTCACGTACTACCTTATTATGCTTTTCTCTTCTTCTTTTTTAAATTCTGATTTCTAACTGGCTAAATCTTAAAAAACAAAAAATGCAATGTTAGGCAATTTTGAGTGGAGTTTCAGCAGGAGGGTTGGCTACAATCTTGAACTGCGACAAGTTCAAATCCCTCTTGCCAAATGATGCCAAAGTTAAGTGTGTCGCAGATGCAGGCTTTTTCATTAATGGGTGAGCTTTTCTTTCTATGCATAAATCACTTAAGAAATAAAAGTATCAAGTACGTACTATTGATTTATTAATGTCTAATTTATGTTTATGCCAACTAACTCAAGCCTTTCGTGATATATACATGCAGCAAGACAATCTCTGGTACTTCAGATATTCAAGAGATGTATCAGAGAGTTGTGACATTACATGTAAGTTCCATCATCCTTTTTGTTATAGTACGATCGTATAATATATACTTAACAAGTAAGTGCAAGTTAGATTCTTTTTCTATAATATTTTTTTTCTCTTGTTGAAGGGATCGGCTAAGAATTTGCCTCCATCTTGCACATCTGCAATGGAACCAAGTCTGGTAATTAAGAGTTTAAGTTTTTTGGAAACAAAAACCTTTTTCTTGTGCCATATAAATATTGTTGTCTAACATTAGTTTTTCTTAATAATGGTGCAGTGCTTTTTCCCTCAGAATGTTGTTCCATATGTCGAGACTCCATTGTTTATAATCAACTCACACTATGACTCTTGGCAGGTCAAGAAGACAAATATTAATTTCTCTCGTTTTAAAAATTTCGTTAGTTTTATTCTTTAGTTCCTATTAAATATAAAAGAAATTCATTCTAATGATTCAATACTCTAACTCTAACTCCAGATTGAAAATATTTTGGTTCCTAAATACCTCGATCCTCAACATGTCTGGGACGATTGCAAGAAACAAATAAGCAACTGCACATTTAGCCAACGTTTAATTATTCAAGGTTAGCACTACTTCTCTGGCGATTTACTAATTAATGCATACCTTCCTATCACATATATATGTATAAATGGCTCTTCTTCTCCTCTAATTCTTTTTAATTTGTTTCATTTTTAAATATAGTTTTTGGAGTGGAATTTTTGAAGGCATTTGAGGGACTCGACCCTTCTTTTATGAGGGGTTATTTCATCACATCTTGCCATTTTCATGGTGCAATTATGTCGACGAATTTCTGGTTGAGTCCTACCTCTCCAAGATTACTTCATAAGGTAATTTTTCTTTTGTTTTATATATATAAATAAAATCTGAATACTTTTATGTTTTGAATTTTATCATTCGCCTATCACTGTTAGTAGTTGTAATATTTATGGTTTTATCTGTGTAGACAATTGGTGAAGCTGTTGGGGATTGGTTTTTTGACAGAGCAGGGTTTCAATACATAGACCTATATCCTTGTGCTCGAGATTGCGAGCTACTATAATTAAGTTAGTGAACTGAACTTCTGTAACTAATAAGCTTGCAGATGTTGTACCTGCTGCTTATTTGGTGATACGTAGCTGTTGAGGAGTAGTTAATTAAAGTTAGCTTTATGTTTTACAATTAAATCCTATTATTCAGTAAAAGTTTCTAATTGTTCAGCTTAGCACAGACAGTACGCAACCTACTACTCTTTACGCATATTTTGTTAACATGAGTAGTTAACTCCTTGATATTAAATATATACATTAGTTCCGTCCATACATTAAAACGTTACAAATAATTAAAATATTTAAAGCTACAAATAGGTAGGCAATGTTTTATTTGTTTAAATTCTTTTTCAGCTGTATTTTTTCTTTATTACATTTGATTTTAATTTATTTAATTTCGTAAACTTGTCTTAGATTATACATTTGTGTTTTACTTTTGGCACCTTAACATATTTTTATCTTTTACATCAATTAAATTTACAAAGATTAAAAATGAGTTGACTGTCTGAAGCAAAGATAAATTAACTAGTCGGATATATAATTTACTAACAGTCGCAAGAAGGTTACATTTCTCCCCTTCTTAGCAAGAGGATGTAACTTTGACATTAATGAGTTGTGAACAAATAATCTCTCATATTAATGAGACTTCATTAATATCTATTCTGAATCCATTGGTGAAGAGAGACCAATCTGAACATATAAGCTTTTTAAGCCTTTCACTTTAATAAAATATTTGTTCACTCATAACGTACATGTCTAAATTCTACCAATTGTTTTCTCTATTTATGCCCTACAACATTGTCCTCTCAAAAAAGGTCAGCTTAAACCAAATATTCTTGTGCTATCAAAATAAAGGGTAAGCAAGATTTTTTCTCTCTTCACCTCTAATTAATTAATTTGTTGGTTTTATTTCTTATTGTTGTGTGCCTCTTTAATTTATTTCTTGATATCTGTGCTTCTATATTTTGAACAATCTCCATTGTTTAGACATAAATTTTTAGGTTGAAAATGTCTTTTAATTCGGAATGGCAGAGCTTATTTTAGTTTTTACACGATAAGACTTTTTGAAAAGCAATATAATTGCACTGAGATGTAATAGCCAAACTATTAGGTCAATTATTCACATTCGGGGTGCAAGTATAACAATTTGAGATGGTAATCTAACGAATTTTTTACTGAAAAGATCTTATATTACAAGTAAAATTAAAGTAAGCATCAATGTGATTTTTTAAATACTTGAGAGGTTTTTTTAAATGCGTAATGCTTTATTATTACGGGTAATATCTATATTGAAGTGGTAATCTATAGACACGAGTGCCCTTCTATTTTTAATACCATGATTCTAGTTTATATGATAAAAATCATGAAAAGTCGAAAACAATGCTATGAAACTTCTAACATCACTACTTAATTGCTTATTTCCATAGGAATTATAAATACAAGGATGGATTGTAAGCGGATGATGGCTTTGGAGCTTACTTGTATTTTTTTCTTTATATTATGTGCGATATCAGTAAATTGTAAAAGATATCCGCCATCAATAGAATATGGTTGTTTTTTAGAATGTCTTGACTATTTATTAGTGGAAAGAGGGTTAGATCATACTCCTCAAGCAGAATTAGAAAGCAAATGTAGAGAAGGAGTACCAGAATTTAATNTGTAGAGAAGGAGTACCAGAATTTAAATGTGAGACTAAGCAATTGTATGATGAGCATCAGATTAAGGTTTGTGATGATCCCAAACGTTTCCCATGTGTTTCCCCAGTAGCAAGGTAATTTCACATATGCATTATTTGTTTATGAGAATAACTACTTTATATTATTGTAATTTCATTTCATGATATAAATATACATGGAATGCAATATATGCTTAATTAAACATTACAATTAATTCTCTTATTTATGGCTCATAATACTGTTTGGAGATTTATATTAATAGTCCTGAAAGATTCAATTTAATATCTCGAAGTGTCATGAATTTATTTATTTTTCAAATACGAGTCACGATTTAATTAAAACTTTGCGCAAAAAGCAGTTGCCGAATGGGGGACTAGGCCTTACCTTAAAAGTTTTAATTTGATTGACTTCTTTTTTGGTTGTGGTATTAGAACGCAAGGTTTCGTAAACCCTTTTATTTGAGGTAGAATACCTAAAAACCCATCCTAAATATGGCCCCCTGAGCTTATATTTTGTGTTATCTTAATTACCCCTTGAGCTTAACTATTTCTTATAATTTATCCTTGAACATTAATGTAGGAAATTAAAGAGCTTGGATACACTATTTCTTAAAAAAATTAGCATTCCAAGTGGAATAATTTTCAACCGTTAATTGCGAATTAGTCATATTATATACAATGATTTAATTGTTCCAATTATGTATTTCTTCTTGCTTCTTTTTAATATATAATGCATATTATACCCCAACTTTATATTTTGTTTTATTTATTCTTTAAATGCAATGACTATTTGTTCAACTCTATTATTTCTTTCTTCGAACCAAATCTATAAAAACTTGGTTGAACTCCAAACTTTGTGATGGGATAAAAATAGTTTTAGCCAAAATAATGGAGTTCCAATTGCATATTTCTTTTTGTTTCTTCTTCAGATGCAATGGCTATTTATTTCAATTATGTAATATTTTTGGGCAACTATGTATAAAAAGTTGGTTGCGACTCCACTATTTTCAGTCAAATAAAAAACATTGGACCAAATTATGTATTTTTTTTATTATTTCTCTTTAGATGCAATGACTATTTATTTCAACGGCAAATTTGTTAAAAGTTTAGCTGAAACTTCATTCATTTTATCCAAGTAGATTTTTTTAGCCAAAATAATGAAAATTCAACTGTGTATTTCTTTTATTCCTCTTTAGATGCAATAACTATTTATTTCATTTCTCTATTTTCCTTTTTTGGGCAAATTTTGTATTAACAGAGACGAGTGGGGTGTGGGACAGAGACGATGTTTCCAATAAAATCTCGACTAAAGAAAAGAAGCAGCGGCAAACAAATGAAAAGGCAAGTATTTAAAAAGACAACACTTCAATTGTTGGTGAGAGTGGACAGAGCACCAGAATAAGTCTAAAAATCATTGTTTTTTCGTTAAGTAGAACTAAAAGCTCATTAGCTTAAGTATATAATGAGATCTTGATTGCATTGCACACATGTAACAACCCAAGTTTCAAATTTCAATTCCAAGTGAAGTGGAGACAATAATGATCGATAATAGGTCAGTAACCAGTACATAGAATCATAACATGATTATTATCTGTTTCCTGTGCTTTGAAGACAAGCATAGGTAGATATGATTACACTAAAAAGGGCAACCCGGTGCACTAAGCTCCCGCGATGCGCGGGTTCCGGGGAAGGACCGGACTATAACTGTCTATTAACGCAGCCTTACCTTGCATTTCTGCAAGAAGTCGTTTTCACAGTTCGAACCCGTGGCCTCCTGATCACATGGCACAACTTTACCAGCCCGGTAGATATGATGATCACATTGGCCGAGACAAAAGGGAGGGCACCATTTGTCTTGGTAGGTAAATTGCTTCAAAAGTTGCTAAACATGATTACAAAATTTTAGAAACTTGCATTTTACTCAAACAAGTGCACTACTTCTACCACAACTCATCAGTAACAAATAACCTGTTTTACAAAACCTTCATGAAGTTCATTGCAGCTTCAGGATCATCAACACACATAGCATGGCGTGTTTTGAACGTGCATCGCCAGCATTGAAGGAGATCCTGCTCAGATTATACCGGTAAAAAGAACTAGTACTTATTATTCTTTCTGCTTCAAGTCATGTTCAAGATTTACTTCTCAGTAAACTAGACAAATATTCCTGTATAGGTTAACATAACAAAGCATTTTACTAGTTTAAAACCTATCTTGAATAAGTTAGAAGCATCACCTGTTCCAGAATGACAACCGTACTATCAGCCATTAACTTTGTAATCTCAAGACCTAGCAAATAATGCAACACTGTATTCACCAGGAGGGACATCGGTTATCATGGTGTCGGGTTTGTTTAATATTCGAGTTCAGTTCCGACTTCCATACTAGGTAATTCTAGTCTGTCAAAAACATGATAGTGAACATTACCTTTTCACTAAAAACTTCAACATCATATTATATAAAACCGAAATAAAATTCACAGAAGACGTTGGAGAACATCTCATAAGGTAAACAGGAGAATGCACAGAACATAAGGCATTATACAGATATAGCAGGAATCATTAGGCATAGTATAATTAAGTTTTGATAAATACAGGATTAGTGAACATTGCCGATGAATAGGAATTTACAAATAGTTATGATGTGGAAGAAGATAGACATTAAGTGTGCAGAAGAAGGGTTCTATTTGGCAGACAAGAGAAAGTGTTGTACAGGTAGAATTCCAATTCTAGGACTACATTTGCCTTTTGCACTATTTTCAAATGTTCCTTTCAACAGTCCAGGTAATGACAGCAATATTGAGCAAATATAAGGGCATGCCACATTTTCTGACCACGAGCTTGGTACACGAATTACCAAAGTGCTTGAAGGAGATGAGCCACCCACCATATTCTCTAAGTTTGTGCTAAGATGGTCCCGCTGCAGAAACACCATGCTGTTGTTTAGATCATAGTCTGCAACAAATTACTTGGAATATAAGGTTTTCTTCAATCGGCAAACAAGGGGGAAGTCTGATAGGGCTTTAAGAGATAGGGACTCCAACGGTAAAAGTCACTCAGTGAATAGGTGGATCACACATTTGGAGACAACGATAGGGGCAATTCCTCGCATATAACTAAGAGAGCCATTGAATGGTGACTAAAACACAAGAAATGGGGACTACGAACTAATGATAGAGACAAGAATACTTTCTGGCCAAGTCCTATTAATTGATCATAAACTATCCGTTTCACTTTATTAGGATCTGTACCATTACTTATATTCAAGAGATTTATATGAACCCTACAGAGAAAAGACACATCAATAATATTGAATAAATAGAGATGTCTGATTTGAAACCTCCTTTTCTGCAGTCAACAGTTTGACTACTACAGCAAATCTAGGTAAAGATATGCTGATTACAGATTGATGCAAAGTTAAAACAATTGATAATTCTTTCATTTTGGGGAAACTTGTGAATTACTTGAACCTCCCTCTAGTTTAGCGACAAAATGGACCTCCCACTAGTTAAGCAAACACGAAATAGACCTCCCGTCTAGTTTAGCAAAGCAAAATAGACCATGGCCTCAGTAATTGGCAAGCTAAGATTAGGGTTTTGTGGGTAAGTATTGCAGAATTTGAACTCATTAAATATTTTTGGCTCTAGAAAGGGCATACGCAGCAACACACTAGAAACAGTTCTCTGACATCATCCATTTCAAACAGCTGAGTTAACGGACTTCACTATCTAAGATCAAATATCAAAAAAGGGAGGGGATATGTGCTTCTTAAACTGGAGCTGAGGTCCATTTAGTTTTGTTAAGCTAGAATAAGTGTAAGTAATTTACCATAGATTTACTAACTGAATTTTAAGCAGTCCTCAAATGTTTTTCTTCCTGGAGTGAATCTTAAGTTCTTGAACAACAATGATGTAAAAACTAAAACTCTTGCAATGAACATGCTTCTTTTTTTTGACAGAGATGAACGGGTCATTGATATCGATCATCACCTTCATGAATTTGGGTCCATTGAATATTACATTCAGGTAAGAGCAACAAGCAACCGCAAGCAAACATTCCATATCTGGTTGACGTTCATGGCACAAAAGACAAGGGTTATCTTAAGGAAGATCCTTTGGACCGAAGAACAATTTAAGCAACTATTTTTATATGAAATAAGGACTCCAAGTTGAGAAATGCAATTTATTGCAAATTTTTGCTGATATTCAATAATTCCAAATATTTGCACTAAAGTTTCTTTAACTTTGTTTTTCTTCTTAAAATATTTAATCAGTCCTCAATGTCGGATCCTGATCGTACCTACTTATCAATATCAACGCCAATTCTGTCTCAAGCATTCCTGATCTCAACTCGGCTATCACGTTACACCATGGAGAAGGTAAAGGCAATTAGTGCTGAAGTTGTGGAGATTGTTGAGCCTCCAAAAGAAGGATATCAGCTGACTTTACGACTCAATTTTGCTAGAATGCCGTATGGTAAAGGTTAGAAATTCCTCACATCAACTCTGCTCCCCCTCTCTCTTTTTCCTGTTTTAGAGACATCTCAGAAGCAGAACGATAGATCATGCAATAAAAATTCAATGTGGCACCACAAGAAAAAAGGAGAATCATTATAGTGGTCAGCTACATCCACTTTGTTATGGTGATAAGATGATGTAACTGAGCCATCCGTAGTGGAACAAAATTGAACTTCTTTCTAGTCAAGTAGTTGGAGCTTTGTAAACCTATAATCACATCTTTCTTGCTGCTAGAACAGTTCCAGTTAAGATTAACTCTCTGTTGATTCAAGGAAATTGGACAGTGGAGGTTTACTGAGCTGTTTTAATCATATATTTTTCTCGTCAACAATAAGCTTCACAAAATGAAGAAACTTCAGCAGAAAAAAGAAAGCACGGAAGAAGGAGCTCTATGGAGTGTCATGTCTACAAAAGTTCAAAACAGGGATACTCATGTTTTAATAGTTAAGTAAAGAAATAAGATTAGAAATTAAGTTTAATGCAAATCGGAAAAAGAAAAATAGATATGGACCGAAGAAAATAATACCTGTCTTTAGATACAAATTTCTGTTGGCCATTACAGAAACCAAGCCCGTCCATTTCAAGATCTTCAAACTAAAATGAGCAGAGGCTGATTAAATGTACTGAAACCGGAAATTATTTATTGCAAAAGAGAACGTGCAGAAGATGCTTTTTACATCATTTTAACAACCTGGATCAAGTAAAGGTTCAAATAGTCCTAAAGAAAACCAGAAAATATATAGATACAAATCAAAACACACTCAGAAATGTTATTGTTGCTTCCAAGAGAGATCTGAATTATCTGCCATCTTCATTTTATGCTGTTAAAGCAATTTCTTTCTAGATATTCAAATTTAAATCACTAAACTGCTTCCCCCTTTCTGCAATGAATTAAAAATTACCTACGACTTTGATAATATTACACAGTGCAATGCTGCTCATAAGATTGTGTTGTATCATGTTCTTTTCAGAGTCGATAAAAACAATCACAGACATTGCTGCTGTGCAAGGCGTAATTCTGAGTTCTCAGCTGGAAGAAATGCTGATGAATGTGAATTCACAAGATGTGGCTCAAGGGATGTACAAACCAATCAAACTTGTGTATCACCCAAGAGAGCCGTTTTATGTCATAAAACAGGTACTCCGCATTATGAGATAACTTTGTTCAATCACAATCACTGAAGATACAACTTCAAATTTAAGGACAAGTAAATGAACACACTATGCAAATAAGTAGCTCTGCTCAATGTAAGAATAGCTAAGTTAACATTACCTTGGCAGTATGTTGATCCACATTGGGAGAACATCAGTAAAGGGATTAAAATAATTATGGAGCAGAAATAATGCTGCAACCCTTATTGAGAAACAATCAGTTCATTTACATGCAGGTAGAAATACAAAAGTATGATTCTACAAACAAAGGGAAAACAATGAAAGTCAGAACATCATATTTTCTGATACCAACAAATTTCAAGTCCATTTCAAACTTTAATATCTGCAGAATGATTTATTGTTCAAACATTAAAACCTAACGTCTTACAGTCTTGAATTGCAAACTCTATTTGCAACAAACTTAATTGCAAGTGTTATATTCAAACCTAATCTATTAGCACAAAATCAAAATTATACTGTACGGAAAGTACACACCTTTTGCCATGCCAATTCAGGAAGCTGCAAAGGAAGGACAAATTGCAGGCATTTCTCTTAAACGCATTGGAAGCATGTTGAAATCAAACTCTAAACTAGAACATATAGTACTTCCAAACTACAGCATATAGCTACAGGTTTATATGTTAAGTTCAAAATATGGCACATGAACAGCAACTATATGATTGACTTTAGTTTAAATTGCCATAATAAATTGCACTTGAATGAAGAGAAAAAATTCTACATAAAAAATAGGATGTAGAGATAAATTCCTTCCTAAAATATGAGATTTGTTAGAGAGAATACAGCCTCATGCTTCTTAATAAGTAACTCCACATTTGTGACAGCCCCAAAAAATCACGGCAGTATTCCCAATGCGTTTTAAGGAGAAAACAGATGTGATTATAGCGACAGCTTTCTTCCAGGTAACACAATTTTATAACATGTATTACTTTGCAATTTTATAGCACGTATGAGTTTTTTCTATTCGAGTATTCAGGATAATTGACAGTTTCCGAGCAGGAACTAATGGATGTTGCAAATTCAGAAGCATGTGCTAAGGCACCCCATTGCATCTGGTCCCCTATTCCACCTCCTGAGCTAAGAGGAGAAGCAATTGAAGACTTGAGCACAAACGGAGGCTTTGTTTCTTTTGGTATCGACTTAAGTCCTATTAGCACCTCACGTCTACACACAAATCACTTCTATACACAAATTACTGTTTCTTCAATATAAATGAAGCATTTGATAAAGGCAAAAAGAAAATGTTTACGTTACTTTTGGAGAAGAAAACAGAATTCAAGAACTTCCTAATACATGAATGATGATTTGAAACGGACATTTAAAAAGAGAAGGCCTACTTGTAAAACTTAGAAGATACTGGTGTTCTTGTAAATACTTTACAGCGCTTACTTGTTGCCGAATATCAATAAATGACATTTACCAATTAAAAAAAAAAAAAAAAAAAAAAAAAAAAGAACATATCTTAGCGTTTCCTTACCTTCTGTAAATCTTGGAATTGGAGTTGGCATGATATTTATCATGTGCATTCACAGATATTACTTCACGGCATATTGAAGGAAAAAGGCTAGACAAGACTGTATGGAACTTTCTGAACTTTTACGCATTTGTCAAAAATCATGTAAAGGTAAATATCCTTCTATAGTCATAACATTACACCTACTCACATCTTATGGCTATATTCTGCATCAAACAGAGCACTCGAGGATTTATACAAAGAAGAATGAGAACACGTCTGAAGAGCCTAGTTGAGGTAAACAATAGATCAACATTATTCACCAGAAGTAGCACAGTATTAGTTCATGAAGTATAAACAGTAGAACCTCTCTTACTCTCTGCACTCTGAGATGTCAATTTTGCAAAAATACGCACAGTGATGAACTACTATCTGATTGCAACTTGCAGGTCTTACAGAGAACAGGACTTCAAGATGACCAACAGATTAAAGAGGTGAAAGGTATGAATGTTTGATTTTGAGGTTAACATATATTTGAATGGAAAACTTAAAGAGAAACCTAACAACCAAATGACAGTATGACATGATTTATGATGTTTATGCAGATATAGTAGAAGAAAAGACTGACAAGAATTATGTGGATTTATCATATGTTTCATATGAAAGACCATAAATTATATTAGCTAAAAGCCACTTACCTTCTATATTTCTTTTTTTCCTTTCTTTTTTCACTGTTTTCTAATTCAGTACATTATTTTTCTTTTACTTTCTCCTCATTTTTTACCAAACAACATTTATGCAGGATACAAGCCCATGAAAAGATTGGTAAATTTCTCAAAATCCAAAATACTCAGATATAGAAGTGAGTTCACCAGTAAAGTTAAGAGGATTCGTTCGAGATTAAAAATCCATGGTTTTAGCCGTTTTCGTCAAAAATGGTTGACATTCCCCAGCTTCTCCTCCAAGACAAAATACAGAAAGCTGGAAAAAGATATTTCTCCTCAACATAATTAATAGAATCTGCTTATGGTCAGAATTTTCCTCAAAAGGAACAAAAATATCCTTGAATTGGGATAGGTGTTACACTCTAGCATGTAAAACACCTGTATTTGTCACTTTCTCAGATGTGGGCACTACATATAGATACCCGTGTACAAATATTAAAGCACAATAAACGGAGTTGTTTTATACTTCAATCACAGATTAAATCCAGATTTGCATATTAATCTAGCTGTTAAGTAAGAAAGTTTCTCTTCTATTTGATAATCAACAGTTTGAAGGTGAATATTTAGTGCAACTGTCCATAGACATTAAATCAAGTTGTTCCCTTCTTACCAAGGAAGGAAACTTACTCATAACTATTCCACTATCTATTGGGCATTACCTTTGATTTCCTTTAATATAAACATCAAATAATTGAGCAGACACCCTCCACATCCTACAGTCAGAGATTTAGTACGGATGAAAAAAGTACATAATATTTTTCTTCTTTTTTTTTCCTTTTTTCAAATCATACAAAAGTACATGAAGTAACTTGATATATGCTGTATATATGCAAGAATCCTGAAAAGAAAGATAAATTGCTCGGACTCTTGACACATTTGAAATATTTGAAGATGAGTTTTATGAACAAGTATTTTGATGAGCGATCACATTTAGGAACTGAGGCGCATGTCCTTTGGCATTGACATGAAAGGAAAAGCGAGAACTCTAATAGCAACAAAAAAGGAAAGGTAAAAAGGGAAAGAATTTTAACTTGATTTCACAAGAAACAGTGAAAAAGATTTCGATTTCGGATAACCTCAAGATAAATTACTCGGGAATGCAGAAAACATGGTTCGCTCATCACTGTTCCCTGTTTGCACTGTATGGACTCTTTGGAAAAAGGAACTCTAGATGCTTTGGAGGAAAATCTATTCCTTTTTATAGCACCAAGGCTTTCTGTTTAACTGTCTTAGCTCGTTGGTATAATTTTCACTTGAGATGATGTAAATAAACTTTTGTATTTCATAGGCTCCCCACATTTGTAAAAGGGATGGCCTTGCTTCTTTTGTAATTCACAGCAGCCCTTCGTGCAAAAATAAAGATACCTACTTTTAGCATGACGATACTTACTTTAAAGACAAGTCCGTAGTTTGACTCAAGAAGTTCTTTCATTGACTACCAGCATTTTGCCATTAATAACCAGAATGAATATAGAAATACAAAAAGACAACAATCATATATTGAATTATAGAAGCTCCTTTTCATTTAATAGTAGGAAGTGTTAGAAATGAAAATTTTCATGCTAGTAAGGTACATTAGAAAAGACATGAAGCTCAAGAGAAACAAAAGGCTACAATTTCCTACATAGGATTTAAAAAAACATCTGCAAATTCAAAACTTACAAATGCTGCTGTATCAAAGAACATCAGGAACTTCTCATTCTATCTCTAATTCAGGAAGCGGACGCATCAACACGCCCTCCGATCCAACCTGTGCTAGCAATGGTCCACTAGTATCACCACATCTCATCCTCTTACTCTTATTCAACAACGCAAACAACCCCAAGCTCAAGATCATCACCACGACAACGTGCACTATAAACAACAGATTCATCAATGCAATTCCCCTCAACTTATTCTCATCAAGATCACATTTAACATCATTCTTCCCCTTTGCTAATGCCGCCAGAAGATTCCCACACCCTTTTACACAAAACACATCAGTATATAACAACAACCCCACTTGCAAAACCCAAGTCCCTTTCAATACAAGCACAGAGGAAAACAAAAACTCCACGAAAAATGCACATGGATTTACTGCTAAACACAAACAACAACCAGCACAAACAAGTCCCAATTCTCCTAAATGTCCATACACATTACCACTAAGACCAACAAGTCCTTTCCCATTCATCAAGAATTCAACGGCAAAAGAAACACCAGCAAAACAGTAAACAAAACTATCAAGAATTGCATAAAGATCAAAACTTTCTTTAATTATGATGAGAATTAAGAGTACCCAAAAGAGGAAAATGACTAAAGATTGCTGCAAGAATGAGAATTTATAAGTTATGTTGGTGCCTGAAAAAGCTAGGAAGAGAAATACATGAGAAAATGAGGCAATGGGAAGGATGATTAGAAGAGAATATAAATCAAGATTTTTCCATTTGGGTTCTGAGAAATACCAAGTTCTTGATCTGTAGAGTGATGGGTTTTTAAGGTAATTGGAGATGCAGCAGATAAGACAGCGAATGCCTAGTGTAAAAAGGAAAAGGAATGCTGAGAAATGGGTAGCTAATGACATTTCAAAGAGAAATGTATATATATGTGTATGGGATTTGATGGGATAAAGGAGAAATATGAATAATTAAGATTGTTTCAAGGTCATCAATGGTGATGTTTTTAGCAAAAGTCAATACGTGAAGATCACCAACGCCGGCTGGTGGCAAGGGGCCAAAAGAGAAAAGAAACCTTAAAATTTGAAGAAGTGTTTATTATTAATTGATACCCTATGTTTGGAGTTCTGTTAATCTGCTCCCAGATTTGGTAAATTGTTACCCAAAGCTCACCCTGAGGGTGTTAAATAATTTTATAAGTTGATCGACCTGTCTTAAGTTAAAAAATCAACCAAAAATTATAAGTTTGTCACTCATAACTTATAAGCACATTTTAATTTAATCAAGTTTTTTACTATTTTATTCTTAATATATTAATAATTCTCAAAATAGAATCCTTACTTCCTTTCCATTCCATATTTGTAGTTCCTACTTTTCGCTATCTAACATCATCTAACCCAAACATGCTTCTTGTTATGTCGGAGGTTTCCTTTTTGTTCTTTTGCAGTTTTATAAGCAGAGAAGCTGTTAAGTGAAAACATTTAAGTGAAATTAAATATAGTAAATGCTTTCAATGACACAGTACTGTCAACACATTAGTGAAATGGATACAATGCTAATCTACTCTTTCATATAGTAAATTAGCAAGATCCTATTCTATTGCAAGCTAAAGATCTTTAGAAAAATGTCTCAAGACCGCCGACTGTAATTAAATGACAAATATATGTTTTATTCACCAAAAATTCGAACAAATTTTGTTTCTTTTTCTTGTTTTCTTTTGTTAGCAAAATTTAAAATGTGAACAAGATTGAATTTCTGGAAAAGTTTAAGGCATGATAGACAGTGGAGGAAGCAGAATTTTCACCAAGGAGATTCAAAAAATAAATAAAAATGTATACACGCAAAGGAACTAAGGAGATACAACACCTAATATATTTACATGCACCTAATATATTTACAATTAACCTAATTAACCTTATACACAGTGTAATTTTCGGCTAAGGAGATTTGGTTGAACCCCTTCCGCTTACCTAACTCCGCCCCGATGATAGATGCTCTAGCACTAAATCAAGAAATAATGAGAAGTATTTCTAAACGAATTTCATTTCGGGAATACAGCCGAATTGACAAGCAATTCAATTCTCGAAAGTCCTTAGAAGCTTCATATATCGAACCTACTACTATTATCAACGGCTGAAATTTCATTTCTCCCTGCTTACTATACTTTTCGCATGCATCAAATATGAAACAAAAAGACATTTATGACTTATACAAAGACGAACTCAAATTTCCCACCTTGAGTTAAACTATGTCCTCGTCTTCAAATGTTTTGCACCGTCCAATTGTCAACTAATTTGTATGCGAGCTGATGATTCCAAGTTTCTTGATTGTTTAAGACTTCGTGTACAATTTAGAACCATAAAAAAGTTCGATAACTAGTTTAACCTCATGAAAATACAGTTAAAAATTGTGTCAAATTGACTGCTGAGAGACTCTAGCAAAGCAATTGAGACAGTTTGTGATACTTAAAAATCATATAGAAGGGCGTTTAGCTATGACTTTTAGTTTTGTACGCTGCATTTTTCTAAATTTTCCGCACAATCATATTAAGTTTACCTATAATTACGGATAACTCTTCGTAACAAATCTTATAACCTGAAAATGCATTCACAATTGGCTAAGTTGGTTTAATAATTGGTTTCCTACATGGGAGATTTGTGATCGATTCCCCTTATCACCAGCCTCCTCAGTCAAAGCTCGCACCGGACTTGCTAGTGTGATTTACTTCTCATGTGTGGTTTGCGAGTGTATAGGATAATCCTAGACCAACTAGAATCTTGGTTAAAGTTATCTATTTGTTGTGGGTTTAGGTTCCCTGTAGTATACGAACTTGTATTATATTGCTCTCTGTATGTCTATAGACTTAGGAGTCTTATACATCATGGAACTCCATATATATATATTCTTGTTGTAACCACACATGATAAGGAGTGAATGAAAGAACTCTTTGCGGTATTGGAGCCTTAACTGGTTTAATCAACCCAAGGCAATTTTTTTTAAGTAACAGAGAACGAAGACATTATGGATATGGGAATGATATCAACTCTTTGTCGACCTCTACTACACCAACCATAGACGCTCAATTTCCCACATCTCCTTTTATGCCCTCACCAAATATTGCGCATCAACTATCGGTAAAACTCACGTCACCAAACTTCTTGTTGTGGAAGACACAGTTTATGCCAATGGTGTGTGGTTGTGGTCTCAACCATCATATTGATGGTAGCGAGCCAATTCCGACACAGTTTCTTGATCAGAATATGCTAAATCTGGCTTACAAAGTATGGGTACGAGAAGACCAACTTGTGCTAAGTTGGATTGTTGCATCAGTTTCTGAAAATATTCGGCCTCAATTAGTTGGAGCAGAGACTGCTCGTGCAGCTTGGGATAAACTTGTTGTTGCATATGCTTCAGGATCGAAGCCACTAATTCGTGAACTCAAGATGCAGTTGCATACCTTGCGTCATGACAATGCAAGTATTGAGGCCTATGTACAAAATGCCAAAGGAATCGCGGATAGATTAGCTGCATTACAACATCTGATTCACAATGATGATTTCGTTGAATTTGTTCTTGCTGGACTAGGCCCTGCCTATCGGCCCTTCACCAGGTCACTAGTTTCCCATCAAGAAGACATTATGTTTGATGCATTATATGGCATTCTCCTTAATGAAGAAAGACAGTTAAAAATAGATGAGACCATTAATGTTATTGCACCCACCTCTCAGTTCACTCAGAGTTCTATTTCTACCACTCGAGGGCGTGGTAGAGGATTAGGAGGGCGTGGTCACGGACGCTCCCCCATCTAAGGGTTCACACAGAATAACCAAAATCGTAACTTTCAGGCATCTAACCAATCTACTAAAGCAAATCAACAATCTTCTGACTACTCCGGACTTATCTGCCATAATTGTGAAGGAAAAGGTCATATTGCACGTGTATGTCCTTCACCACGAGCTAATAGTATCAGCGTGGTGTCTAGCCGACCCACTTCTAATCTTGCCAGTTCTCCCAATCCACCTATACAAAGCTGGTTAATGGATAATGGCATCACGCATCATCTCACAGCAGACCTTGATAATCTAGGCATTCACTCTGAGTATCAAGGCCCCGAATAAGTGACATTAGGTAATGGTTCCAAATTGCCTGTATCTCATGTTGGTAAAAGTTTTGTTCTTGTTTCCAATCAAAAGTTCAATCTTGATAATATTTTACATGTTCCTTCTGCTACTCACAATTTATTATCAATCAGCTCCTTTGCTAAATCTAATCAAGTGTCTGTTGAATTTTTTTCCTAACTATTTTTTGATTAAGGATTTGACAACGAGAAAAATCCGACACAAGAATCGAGTAGTGGCGACTTATATTCTCTTCCAGTGCTGCACTCTTCATCACCTGCTTCCTATGCAGCTTCTCTTGGCGTTTGGCATGCTCGTCTAGATCATGCATCATACCCTACAGTTCATCATGCTTTACCATCCAATGTGCTTGCATCATCATCAAATGAATATCCTAGTTTATGTTCTACATGTGATGTTAGTAAGAGTCATAAACTTCCTTTTAAAGAGTCTAGCTTCAAGGACACAGGGCCTTTAGATTTAGTTTGTTCAGATGTTTGGGGCGCAGCTCCAGTAGCTTCGAAGGATGGTTATCGCTATTATGTCATTTTGTTTTATCATTTCAGCAAATATACATGAATTTATTTTCTTCGATTTAAATCTGAAGTACTTTTAGTTTTTATTCAATTTTGTACTATTATTGAAAAAAAATTTGGTCGCCCTATTAAATGCTTTCAAGCAGACTGGGGAGGAGAGTTTTGAGCCTTAACAAATTATTTGAGAGATAATGGAATTGTGCAACGTTCTTCGTGCCCCTATACCCCTGAACAAAATGGTTGTGCCGAGAGAAAACACAGACACATTGTTGAAACTGGGCGTTCCCTTCTACATCATTGTAAGGCCCCGTAGAATGCAAAAGAAAATAATGTTTCGTGGCGCCGAATTGGTTTTACGTGTTGAGGATTATAGAAGCTCGTCGCGGCTAGGACTTTTTGGGTTGAACAATGCACCGGAAAGTTAAAAAAAAATACGGAAAAGCGTGTTTATGCGGTCCATTATGCGACCGCATAATCACTCTACGGGCCGTATAATGGCCGCAGAAGTGAGCAGGAGAGGGCCATTCTGGAATCAGCTATGCGGTTGATTATGCGACCGCATAACTGTTATGCAGTGCATTATGCGACCGCATAACAGTTATGCGGACCGCATAGTGACCCCATATACAGACAGATTTTTGATCATTTTTGTCAGCGATTATGCGACTAATATGCGGTCCACATATCCATTATACGGTCGCATATGCGACTGCAGAACCGTTCCGGAGCTTCATTTCTGGGTTTTTAAAACCCAACCCTATTTCGTTAAATACACTCTTTGGGCCATTTTTGAGCTATAATCTGATATTTTAGAGTGAGAGGGAGTGCCCTAGAGTGAGAAGGAGTTCTTCAATAATTGTTCTTCAATTCTTGCCCAAGTTTTGGAAGATTAAGAAGGGAAACTCACTAGGTCTTCATCCTAGAGGTAAGATTCTACACCCTAACCCTCACTTTCGAATTTGGTGTAGAAATGGATAATTAGCAAGATAATTTCTGGGCATGAGGGTTGTTTATTTTGCATGCATGTGTTATCAAAGGGTGTAGGAAGATTG